AATCACCCTCACATACAGATATACAAAACTTGCATTATTGGATTATATTACCATTTATCTAATTCATTAATTCATCTGTTCTTTTATTACATTAGTATTATGAATGATTGCATAAATAGGATAACTAGGTAAAAAAGATTTTGTATTTTTTCCATCAGTCAGATGATAGAAAAATAGTACATAAATTTTTTATAATAACATAGATAACAGGCATTAAAGTTGAGGAGTGGGGCTCGCTACGTCACAGTTTAGTATAAAATTTACAAAAGCATGGCGTTATGTAACAATTTAACTCAACGTATCGTCGTTATTAAATGATTAAATAAAAAATAAAATGATTAAATGTTTCATATGTTTCAACAATCTACCCGACGGACAAACAAACAAAAATTCGTCGTCATCCCAATTGTCGGTCTGTGACGTAAGCCTTTTAGTGAAAATGTTGTCTCTTTATAAAAAAGGAAGTTAATTCATTTTTCATTATAATAAGGTTTGTGACGGCAAAGGAAAAATAAATTTTAAAAGGCATTGTTGCCGACGGCGGAATTTTTTATAATTAATTATGAATCAATGTCACATTAAATTTAATTTGTGGCTATAAATAGCAATAACTATTAAATGCTTTTATAATCGAATATTACTTTGCTTTATTTATTTTCCTTTCCGTTTGAGAAGAGAAATGTATTTATTTATATTCAGTTAAAACTAATGGTACTAGGGATTCAAAATTCCGAACGAGATATTTAGTTTTCAATAGGAGGTATTATGGAAGTTTCCATAATATTTTGGTAATGGAAGTAGGGTAATTCTGATACTGTTAGGGTAATTATGGAAAGTGAATAGCAGCACATCAGCTGCAAACCTACACAGTTCTTGTTACTAGATCGTATAATAATAAACATATCTGTCACCATTGATTTGTAAGATAGACATTGCACTTGAGACTCCATTGAGATATGATTATTACGTAAATATTAGCAGAATTGAGGCATCGGTAAATAGAATTATACTCAGTTGTGTAATAAATAACTAGAAAAATATACGAAAGAATATTATATTTTTTATAAAACCACACCACAAGGTCGTCGGTCCGTTAACTGTTTCCGTAATACAACACCGTCTGCAGACGTTACAAGATTCATGCGAGATTTACTCATACTTTACATTGTAATAAACTTATATAACATCGTATAATTTGAAACCTAATTTGGAGTATAATTCAGAATCTTTAGTCGGATCCCAAAAAGTAAAATAATCTGAAAAAAAAAACGAAAGTATGACGACTACTCAACTCCGTCCTTTTTATATCGACTTGCGAATGTAGCCTGTAATTAATTGAACTTCATAGAACTATCATTGAATTCCAATGTAATTATCTTAATGGAATTGTTTTGTCTTAAGGTCCGAGTTGTTGTTGTATCCTGTTGAGAGTTTATCGTACTGCCAATAAAACAAAAGGGTTTAAATATCAACATCAAGTTGACCCGAGACTCAAAATCGGGACCTTGGAAATTTTTAACACTGCCACGAAGGATGAAAATACACAGGTTACAGGTTTTTATATCATGTTATTTTATGTGTATCTTGAAAGAATTAACATTTTAATTAATGGTAATTGAAACTACTGTTAGTTGCACGTTTGATAAGTTAAATTTTATGATGTGATCGTATAAAGTAATGATTATGGTTCGACACAAGAAAACAAGGTTTATTATTACGTGGCTAGTTCCCGGTCTTTGTTACGAGCAATAGTAAAACATGTGAGTTATGTGTGACCTCAGGTCGAATAGTTTCCGAGTAAATAACATACGTGATTGGAGCGACACTTATTACAAGCCACCAGTGTTGGAATTTGTTCAGCATAATATAAATTTCTTCCATCTTATACTTTTAAGTTTTAAAATTTTCTGTTTTATAAAGTTCGTTATTGGCGTCGACGGGGGCGTAGACTGTCGGTATTTATTGGAAAAATATATTTAGAACTAGTTACAGGAACGCAAGAAAAAATATATATTTCAAACGTTAATACCAAAAAGGTTTCATAAAAAGGCAAAAGGTGTGGTAAGCTCTTTTTATCCAAAAACTTGCCAAGAGTAAACATAACCGGATAGAACTGCTAACAAATGAAATGTTATAATTGCTAACTTTTCACACTGAACTTCTTTGGAATAATGCAAATACTAACATCTTTGGAAATTTATCATAATTTCACCCCTTACAGTGCAAGCAATTCGTTGACAAATCACTGGCGTTAGTCAAGCTGACGCCACGAATGGAGATTGATACGACCGCGATAAACAGTTTCACTGCCGGAATCGGGTGTAAAGTGAATATACGGAAACAAAGGCTTCCTTATCTAATTGCATCTGTACCAAGCACGGAACTGTAGTATCGGAACGTGTGCACATCATTGTTCTTCACAAAACAATTTATGAGAGGCGCCTTATCGCAGCCGCCCCGCGCGCACGTGCCGCGAACCTCCTCCAGCCTAATCCCACGATAATCCGACCCGGAAAAAACCAATAACCATTGTTTTGCCAAGTTATTTATACTGCATTCATGGGATGTTTGCACGAGATATCGTCCTAGTGAACACGGTAACGTTAATAATTCAACAACACACTTAATCCAATTCAGTACGGAGGGAAACCTCTAATGGAGACAATATCTAAGTGTGATAGAAATATAATGAGCGGTACGTGGTTTTGTTGAGTGCAAATTATATGTGAAAATTTTATCGCTCGAGTCGCCAAGAAGAAGGAATCTACAAATGAGTCGTCGGCATAATTAAACTTATACGCCCGCGAGCGAAGCGTGTACTGTTATTTTCTGTCTGCGCGGTGCTTAGAATTTTCTCTCACAAAGCAATATTTCTAATGAATGGAGCACAACGAATGTGAAAATGTCTTTCCCTTTTGTTGAAACGTGTTTTATTAATTGTTGAAGGGTAAAACGTGTGTAGTTAAGTACAACCAAGTGTTAATCTCGAAATAATTAAGTTAATAAATCCTCCCCAGACTATCACTATCTTTAGTGTGAGTAACTTTCCTCGAGTCGAGGCGCCAGATGGCCGCTTCTCTTTTTGGAGATGCATGAAACCGTAGTGAATTCATAAATTAATCTTGAGGAAAGATGCACTTAATTTACTGATTTGCAATTAGATGTCTCGTTTTAACGTTTCGTCTTTATTTAACGCGGTTATAAACCTGATCGTTAAAATAGTTAATATAGTGTTCTAGCTACTGTTTTATGGTTATTAATACATAATAAGTTACATATAATAACATTGTGTGCACAATGGGGTGTCTAATAATTTCTCTACATGACAGAATCATAAAGGGGTTTCAAACAATTAAAGTTGTTCTCCCAGAGCGCTAGACGTCATTTCGTTTCCGTCTCAGAGAAGAACAAGTGACCTCTTGGGACTGTACAAATTACCGCTTCACAAATTGTGACACAATTTGAAAGATGTCTCTATAGTTATCCAATAAACATATACATTTTGAAACGACTAGATTAAGATTTTAGTATTAATGTGATTATATGTCTTAATTAAAAAATCAAGTAATATGTTCGAGATAAGTGTCACAATATCTTAACATAGTTCAGTTCGGAGATTTAATAATTGCTTTATGGAATTTAAGTTTTTCTTTGATAAATTAATGCAATCCATGGTGTTACTATTAGTGAACGTAAGTATGAACGTAATTTAATAATGGCATTAGTATAAATTACTAATCAAAGAAATAGCTAGCCAATTAATAAGCATGAACGCTTTTTAGTATCAACACGGGTTCATAAATTAATTTTGTAATAACTATCCAAATTCACAATAATTTTCAAAAACAACTAAGCAATCACAGAACAAATCCCTTAAGGATTTTGTATCGATTATCTTCTAGAATTTTATTTTTAGTTTATAATGTCGAATGTATTGCCTTTCTCTAGTAGGGCTTTTTAGTTAGTAGCCCATTATGAAATTAACAATGCCATGGATATTAAAGTCACTTGCCAGCGTTCGTAAAATATCCTTACAGTTTAATTGGAGTGTCTCCACCAACCACAAAGGCTGACGCTGGAGATCGTAATTTTATTTTTAAAACGGAATTTCGAAATACATGTTTTTGAAATTTACCTTTTATAAGAGAACTATTTAATCTACTACGGAGCAGGTTGTAAAAAGTTATTTATATTGTTTTAAACTTACTTTATTGATAGTCAACAGCAGCTTGCAAAATTACCTTAGATCTCTGATTTATTATTAAGATACCAAATCAAGGAAGTCACATTTCTAGAGAATACAGAACTAGCTGTCTCGTCCCTTGGGATTGAAGATATCTAGTCACTGAGTTCACTCGTTTGTGACCTAAGGGAAGCTTTATAAGTTATTTTCTGACGATGTCCAAAGGCTCGCCTAATATTATTTCTTACTTATTATTGTTAGTTCGGATAACTTAATAATTCTACTATGCAAAAAGTTATTTTCAAATGAAACAGTCTTAGCTTATGAAAGCTTTGAAATGACTCATAAGGCATTCGGTTTGAACATACAAAAAGGCTTCTAAAACAAGAAGTTCATTTAAATTGCTCAAAACATTATTTTACCTTTAATCTTACAAAATTCTGCTGACACAAAACTGCTTCTTGCTGTATAATTCTAGGGTTTTAAGGATTAGATGATCACGTTCGGTTTCATATAAGTCCTGTGCTATTGAAGCTTGTTACCTATCTTTCTTATTATAAATCGTAAAAGTGGAAATATGTGGAAGTCAAGAAAAGCCAAAATATAGCTACAATGATCAGATTCATCATATAAGAGCAAAGTATGATATCAACAGCTATAATAACTCGCGAGGAGTATCTATAAAAAAGAGTAATATACGTTAAAAAAGCGAAAGACGTATCTAAAGGCCTTGCTTTGTGGTATTCGGTTGTCTGTGTCTACCCCGCAAGACATCGAGGGTATTAAATTGATCACAATTTTGCTTTTATTGTTGCAGCAACTAAAGACGAGCCGGATGGAGATAACGGTGAATGTCGCAGTCGGCAGCAGAATGGCGGAGGGCGCGGGAAGCTGCCGTACAATGGCTATTCGGAGGAATGTCTCGATAGGCTTGAGCCAAACGGGAATATACCACACGACAAGGAACCGCACTACGGTTAGTGTTCATATAGTTTTAATAGAGAAAATTCATAGTATTATATTTCAGCAAGGGAGTCTCGACCAGCTTGAACGCTAGAATGTTTGAATTTGCGTCGTGATTCTTTGGCAACTAAATTACATTCGGCTGGAAACAAATAATCTTTATCATTTTGGCGTTCTAAAAATTATCTTACAAACTCATTTTTAAAGTGAAAAAAATAACATTTATGTTATCTCGGCTTGTTAATTTCATTTTCTATAATTTTCTTTATGGATGATGATTGATGATGATGCCAGCTTATAACGACAAAAAAGAGTTTCGAGAATTTTTTAAGCGATTTTGACTGGGCTAAATATTCGATCCATATTAACAGTACAGTAACATAGCGAGATGTACCAGTGATAAAGACATTACTGATGAGAGCCATAACATTCAATCTATTTAACTAGCTACAGTAAATGTTAATATGATCACCTTATTCTTGTGTAAAGAGTCAAATAACAAGTCTGTATGAAGCGTCTAAAGTAAAGCTTAATTTGTTTAATTTGTTGGAGAACTTACCAACTCAAACGATCTTCTGAAAACATCGTTCCATTACAGTGGGATATAGGCACGTAACTTTCTTCAATTAAGTTTCCTACTTCAAATTTTGTTACAACACATGTTGCTTTACAATTTTACTGAAGAAACATTTTATAAGGATGTCAATTTAATTACTGTGAGGTCTTGACATGTGTACAATATGAAATCGATGTTGTTCATTAAATAGGCCGCGTAACTATTGACGATTTCGTTTTTGGTCATGCATGCTTTAAATTTACAATCAGCGGACCACATCACTAATTGGGCTGTATACAACTGTCATTTAATTCGAATTTAATGCTCTTAACGTTCAATTAATGTTGGAACTACCGTGTAAGATGCTTGACGTATGAACTTTGCATAGCGGTACGATACGATTAAAGTACGAATCGAGAAGTTAATGTGATACAAATGGTAGTAGCAACGAAAAAGTAAACAAAATAAGGAACCTAGTATTTCAATGCCACGTGTTTATAAAATTATCGATTGCAGAAAAAGTTTTGACAGTTAAAGTAAGTAGAATTAATTTTCTGCTATCATAGTATACTTATTCATAGCTGAAACAGGAACTGAATAATATGATATGCAAGCTATATTCTAAAAGATTTAAAATATAATTCGAATTGTTCAACGCCAAGTAGGTATTCAAGACTTTGGTAGTTCATGTGACTAATGAGGCACTCCCAACAATTCCGAGTTCCGTATAATTTGTTGGAAGTACTAGCTTTCGCCAGCGGCTTCGCCTGCGTGTTCTTTAGGGATATGGTGAGTGGGATAAAAAGTATCCTTTTGTCTAAGTCAGTTAACACTCCATCCAAATACATCCAAACAAAGAAACTTTCACATTTATAATATTAATAGGATTACGTTAGGCGCCAGATATAGAAAGACCGCTTGTTTTTTTGTGAATGAAGAAAAAATCTAATTAAACTTAAAACGTACCCACAGTTTATTATTAACAATATAAACAAAATTTGTTGTATTCAATATAAACAGAACGTGTTGCAAAAAAACTTAGATGACAGACATTGACATAACAAAAGAACACATAAAAAAACTTAAAATAATAAAGCCTCTTTTGACATTGTTAATTTTAAGATTATATGTTACTGAAATAAAGCGTACTTGTTCACTTGTGATATAAATTGGCGACATTTTCACTATAAAGACTTTCAAAAGACCTTCCTGCTAATTGTCTTTTTCAATTCTAAATATAGAAGTTAATCTTTAGTAATCCTTAGTAAGATGTCAATTGAGACGCTAGGTTAGGCCAAATATTGCAATGCTATTCAACTATACGATTGTAATTGAGTCAATGATCATCCCAGATACGTTCCTATTAATTCGTACGTATACGGTCAAAGTCCATTTGCATAACATCCACAGTTTATATTGTATTATGCAGATGATTGGGGAATTCCGTATGTATATTAATTGTCCGAAGCAAGAATGTTACTTGTTGATCTGCTTCATTATCAGCAAACTAATATGAGTCTATGATATTTAAAGTAAAGAAATATTGAATTAATATGAAGGTTGGATTTATATGACATGTTTTTTGATATGGTGGCAGGTTTCGGATTAATTGTTGATATTTTCGCACCTATTATTTTTTTATGAAATGGTCGAATGTTGAGTTAGATATAGAACACTCGATCATTTTGTTTGTTGTCGATTGTAAAGATTTTTTCATCGATAAAGATACATAGTTTTTAAAAACCGCGCTGAAGTTTGTGAGATCATTCTCTGGAGTCATATTTAAACTGGTTAATGAAGAAAACCGTATTTTTAGTGAACCGGTTTAAAAACCTGTTCAAAGGAGCTGAACCCTTTATGTAAAGTTCCGTATGTACTTACGTCGAACCGGTTCAAAAATAAACCGGTTTCCAAGCCCTGATTTAAGGTATGCGCTGTGTATCTCCGGTAAACCCCCTAGACCTAAGTCTTGTTTGATAATCCGAGAAAGTGTCCTCTGTGGCATTCTCATTTCTCTGGAAAGGATTTTCTGCTTCCTTATGGGATATCGACGAATTCTCGCCTTGATTGCTTTAACGGCCTGGTTTGTACGAATAGACCGCGGTCTGCGGCGGCCGGATTTCTCACGGTCATCAACAGACATGGTTTCAGTGTACCTTTGGATGGTACGTTTGTGTAACGTACCATTCGGCTAATCCCTAGCTTTTTCAGTGTATCAAAAATGTCGGCTGGCTCCTTATCTACTTTGTACAGTGCAATTACTGCAATCCTATTCTCTTTCGTGCCCCATTCCATTTTCAAATAAATAATTTCTAAACAAAAACATACAATAATGGCAGGAATGAAGTCTATTTTTTTTATAGCAGAAGCTAATGTTCGAAATTCAAATTAATGTTTTTTTTTAAATGCATGTAAACAGCCAGTAACTGAATTTATGGCTAGACTAGGTAGATATAGATATTGTTCCTCAAGTTATTATATCGCCCCGAGGAACTCATTTTGCCTTTATTCTTATCCCAGGCATTCTCAACGTCGAATACGTAAGACAAAGAAAATTGTTCTCAAGTTTTAATAAAATTTCCGTATCTGCCTTACTGCACAGATTCTGTGAAACCGTTTCGCAAGACCAGTACTGAAAACGAAGAGAGCAAACCTAAATGTAGATGCAATCTAGTTCCTTGCTTTTTCCATTTTCATTTTGTTTTTATTCAAACTTTTGTGTTATTTTTGAGTCTTGTACTGTATCAGTTTATTTACACAGATGATCGTCATCAAAATACTTTTGACCCTTTAAGTAGATAGTTATGCTTAACAGTAGATATGCTAGTTTAAACTATATCCCTAAACGGTTTCACCAAACATCATTCATGTCTCGTGTGATAGACGACGTCTTTGTAGTTAAAAAAAATGATAATTTTTACAAGACAATTCACAGCTTTATTTATGTTCTATTAAAGTGTTTAATGTAATTAAGTACTACATTCTTCGTATTAAAACAACTATTTTTGTACATTTGATAACTAACATTTTAACTCGACTAATATTATAACTAATGACTAATCTTCATCAGTTATAATATCAAATTTTAATATATACATAATAATAACTTTAATATCAAAGTTATATGTTAAGTATTTACTAATTTGGTTTGAAATTATTTTTATTCATTTGATGATTATTTTTTATTAGGTATTATTATCTAAAACTTACTCGATATTCATCCTTATGAATGCACTATTCTTATATCAGTGATTTTAACAAACAAGGTTTAGCGTTGGAGTAAATTAACGCTGAAACTGCACTTAGTATTAATACAAATTCATATTATTAAACAGAGACTTAACAAAGGTTAACCTAGTACGAGGTTCTTCGGAGTTATGTTTACTCCTAGAAGGTAGTTAGGTTTGCTCATTCTCAGTATAGTTGAATTCGGACTAATACTAAAATTTTAGCTTATCAAATAGCGTGAAATCTGAAATAAGACATAACTATATCACATAGTATAATGCTTGTTATGTCTATTAGATACAAGTATTTTTCTTGTACTTCACGCTACATTTAATAAAGGGAGCTGATACCTCAGGATATCGATACTAATGAGACATCGATACTTTTTGAAGAATCGATACTTTCCTTCTCTCTCTATTTCTAATAATTTATTAGCTTAAGAGAAAGAAAACTATTATATTGAATTCTTATTTTACCGAACTACCAATGTTTTGATAATATATAAATATCGGAATGTTACTCAATAATATTTTCAGGTAATTTTACGTGTATTGGTCTTATTAGTTAGATCTACATTGGTTGTTAGCGACAGCGGAGCAAGCTGTTTTTCAATTTAATAACTGATTAAATAGGATGACCATCACCTTATTATCAGAAATGCTGTTGTGCAATGATTATTTTTATGTACTCATTTAATATTTAAAGTTAGCAACACAAACAATTAGGTTTATATATTTGTAATAAAAAGTAATCGATATCTCCAGGTATCCATACTTTTGGTACCAATACTGGTACCGAGTAAAGTATCGATACTTTTGAAATTTTGCAGAACCCTAGGAATAAAGCAATACTAGCTAAGCATTGGTATTGCAATGGCTCACCTCAGGTGCCGACTGAAAATCGACGCTGTAGTTTGAGCCGGGACCTTTTGAACACTGCACCGACTATTATAGAATGTTATAAGAATTTAGGTAAAGGGTTTAGCCGGATACGTATGACGAGTCGGCCCCCAAATGGGAATCGATATTGAAACTTATGTTTTAATATAGACTTGATGTTCAAACACGATTTATGTACTTTTCGCGACCGACTTCCGCTTTGACCTTGAGATAGAGAGCAAAATATCCGTATGCTTGACTATTACTGAATGTGATATATCTCTGAAGCTAATTAAGATAAAGAAGTGAAACTAACGCGAGGTGTTAGGTTACATTAGACAGTATATCACA